ATAGTTAACTTAATTCGATACGAATAAAATTGAATTTAACAAAGAGCACTGGTCGGTCAACTTACCAAAATCTGTAGAGACAGGACAATCACCAGCAACTAGAGCCGCGTCTTTATGGAGAGAAGACTACATCCGGAATCCGGATCTCAGCGTTTGCAGATGAGAACAGCTCTCAGGTAAACAATAATCCTCCTTAGACACGTAAGTTATTGTTGTGGAGCGTCGCGTACACTGTTAATCCACACGTGAGACTGAGCTCTCACAGAGAGAAAATGAAAACAAAACTTCACTGCAGCAAACTATAAAAGCAACACTTCACGCTTGTTTTGCCAACACAACGTGGCGTCTCTGCCGTCTAAACACTGTGACAGTAATGAATATTAATGAAGCTGCACAATAGAGCGCGCTGATTGGTTTGAACCAAGCTTTACTCATGCATTAATGCAGCACACTGTAAGACGTAATAAGGCACACTCTGGCACAGACGTCCAGTCTGCACGCTGGAATACACGCTATTATCTCATGACCGTGACGCAGCTTCAAAAATTCGTTTCAAACAGGAAGTATGAATTTGCTTGAAATAACGCAAAAACAACCAATTTACACTTTTTAGTGAAATATAGGTGTCCTAATAGTGTTTATAGCAGTGTGGGACACATATACAACTGTCAACAGCTCAAAAAATGTTTTTTGGTGTTTCGTGACCCTTTAAGTTTTCAGTTACGATAATTAAATCATTCTACATAAATCTGCAGATTTTTTACACAATTTTGCCTAAAAATAGCAAAAAGATTCTGTCTGGCCCTATCTATGTGTTTAATGAGTATACGGCTGCAGAGGGTGATTTAGAATAACATATGTTGGTTTAATATTAGTTTTAATGTTTGTTTTATTTTTGGCATGACCATTTGTCATGGGTTACGATACACACTTATGCCCAGCAGGGGGCAGGAATGCACTCTTTAAGAGGGTTTTCCTGTCACCAATAATCAGGCTAATGCACCAAAACAATGGATGCCAGCGCCATAATAACATCAGCAGTAGGTATTTAACAGAAAAGGAGTGTCCAGAGGATATACAGTGGAGCTCAGAATTATTCACCCGCATGTTTATTTTTCCCCAATTTCTGTTTAACAGAGAGCAGATTTCTCCAGCACATTTCAGCACATAACAGTGTTCATAACTCATCTCTAATAGCTGATGTGTTTCCTCTTCTCCATGATGACAGCACATAATATTAGACTAGATATTCTTCAAGACACTAGTGTTCAGCTCACAGTGACATGTAAAGGCATGTAAAGGAGAATTTTTAGATAGGCCTATTTGGACTCGAAACAAGACAAAAAAATCAAAGTAAGAAAAGCATTTTTTGCAGTGTGGCTAGTTATGAGATGGCTCAGCTAATGGCACAGCACAGGAAAGCCGTCACTGAAGGAGGATTTATAAAGGACGAGTGCTGCAAGTGTAATTTGCCCAGAGAAGATTCAAATAAAAAAAAAATTAAAAAAAAGTCTTTCTAGAAACACAGCTGGACGACGAAATAAAATAATTCCATAATAATACACACACACACACACACACACACACACACACACACACACACACACACACACACACACACACACACACACACACATCTATCCATCCATCCATTCATCTATATATATATATATATGCGCGTGTCTGTGTGATGTATGTAAAATTTGGCCCGGGACAACATTTATTTATTTTTTTGCATCTGCCTTCGGCCCAAAAAGTTTGGACACCCCTGCTTTAAGTGTTCTGTCTGTCCATTTATAATGGTGTGTGTAATCACCTAATCTAAATAAAAGGGTTAAAATATTTCTTATATATATTATATAGACTATTATTTATATAACATGTTCATTATTTAACAGTTTAATACCTCTATTATTCGTCTCATCAAGAAGCTGATTCCTGATCAGTGTGTTTGTGGATCTGGTTTAGTGTTATTTGGGTCTTTATACACACACACTGAGCTTAGACATTGGGGCTATAGGCCAGTACAGGCGTGTCTGCATGCAGTGACTTTGTGTGTGTGTGTGTTTATGCGAGGATGGATGTGTGCATGCGTCAAGTTCATATGTACAGTATATACGCAAGATTCACATGTTGTTTTGAATATGCAGTAGTACAGGTGTTTATGCGAGTAATTCAGAGGTGTGTGTGCGCGCGCGTGCTTTATGTGTGTGAATCTTCCAAAGCGCCTCATAGAAACAACACTTACTGTACACTACTAACACACACACACACTGAACACACACAAAAACTGCACATTGAACACACATTCACACTACATACTGAACATCCCCACTACCACACACACTGAACACACACACACACTGAACACACACACACATTCAGACAAGTATGTGTTTGTATGCATTGAATGGCACTCATGTGCAGTGTTTCATAAAGAAGAAACACGCACACACACACACACACTCTTGATCAGCAGTTGTGCCGTTGTCTCCATGGCAACAGTATAATAGATTTGCCCTAATTCAGTCCCAGAAGCACATTTAGGTGAAAGAGGCCAGCGGCAGACTCTCCTGAAGACACACACACACACACACACACACACACACACACACACACACACACACACATGCATGTTTCCTTTAATTAATCTCAAAGTAACCCAAACACAGCAGCAGATGTTCAGATCATTTACAGTAATTACTACTGTCTTTACTTCTGTGATATCACACACACACACACACACACACACACACACACACACACACACAGACTCAGAGATCAGCTGATATATGTGTGTGTGTTTCTGCTGTTTACAGTCTGTGTCTGCTGTGTGTGCATCTGTGTCTGTGTGTATATCTGTCTGTGTGTATGTGTGTCCGTCCATGTGTGCATCATTTGTGTGTGTGTGTGTGTGTGTGTTTGTGAGTGTGTGTGTGTGTGTGTGTGGTGTGTGTGTGTTTGTGTGTATGTGTGTGTGTGTGTGCAGTGACCGCCGGCTGGCCTGTATCTCCTCTTCTCTGGACTCCTCTTGTGCCGTTATTGATGATGATGAAGCTGATCTTCATCATGTTCTCCTCTGATGATGATGATGATGGGAGGAGGCGCTGCTGTTCTGCTCCTCATGTGCATACAGTCGGTCTGCAGCTCCTCATCTCTGCTGTGTGTCAGGATGGGATTGGGCCGCTCCTGCTCTCCTGTGTTCAGTGTTGGGATAGTGCAGCAGTGCAGGGGGATGATGTGGGTCAGCTCATACACACACTGTTTCCCCACCGGGTCCTCCTCATCACACTGAGGGAGAGGATGCAGGACTCCACCCTGAGCTCTGAATATTGAGGACAGACCAATCAGAGAGGAGAATGTCTGCAGCCCCGCCTCCGTCTTCAGATGTCTCCGCCTCCTCCATCACTGACACACACACACAGCAGCAGAGCTGAACACAACACGGCCACAGCAGCGGCTGCAGAACACTCCAGTACAGCGCTGAACTCACGCTTAACACCAACACACATCCATGCACACGCGGCCTCAGCCTCAGGTACTGCGCTGCTGTGCGCAGGTGTGATCTGCAGGTGTGTTCCGCATGTGTGTTATGCAGGTGTGTTCTGCAGGTGTGTTCTGCAGGTGTGTTCTGCATGTGTGTTCTGCAGGTGTGTTCCGCATGTGTGTTCTGCAGGTGTGATCTGCAGGTGTGTTCCGCATGTGTGTTCTGCAGGTGTGTTCCGCATGTGTGTTCTGCAGGTGTGTTCCGCATGTGTGTTCTGCAGGTGTGTTCTGCAGGTGTGTTCTGCAGGTGTGTTCCGCATGTGTGATCTGCAGGTGTGTTCCGCATGTGTGATCTGCAGGTGTGTTCTGCAGGTGTGTTCTGCAGGTGTGTTCTGCATGCGTGTTCTGCAGGTGTGTTCCGCAGGTGTGTTCCGCAGGTGTGTTCTGCAGGTGTGTTCCGCAGGTGTGTTCCGCAGGTGTGTTCTGCAGGTGTGTTCTGCAGGTGTGTTCCGCAGGTGTGTTCCGCAGGTGTGTTCCGCAGGTGTGTTCCGCAGGTGTGTTCCGCAGGTGTGTTCTGCAGGTGTGTTCTGCAGGTGTGTTCTGCAGGTGTGTTCCGCATGTGTGTTCTGCAGGTGTGTTCCGCAGGTGTGTTCCGCAGGTGTGTTCTGCATGTGTGATCTGCAGGTGTGTTCTGCATGTGTGATCTGCAGGTGTGATCTGCAGGTGTGTTCTGCATGTGTGATCTGCAGGTGTGTTCGGCTCCGCTCATCAATTGCACTCAGTAAGAGCAGCAGTGAGGGCCTCAGCTCAAACGCCGGCCGGTTCTGCACGCATAAATGAAGTTATCAGGATTATTAATGTCTCCAGACCTCCTCATCTGTTACACCTCTGACACAGACCTGCAGTCCGGCTGATCGAGCCGTTTAATGCAGATCTGCACTGAGGAAGAGCGATGAGCCTCCCCTTCATCCATTACTGCTCAATTAGCAGAGCCAGAAATACACCAGAGAGAGAGAGAGAGAGAGAGAGAGAGAGAGAGAGAGAGAGAGAGAGAGAGAGAGAGAGAGACAGAGACAGAGAGAGAGAGAGAGAGAGAGAGAGAGAGAGACAGAGAGAGAGAGAGAGAGAGAGAGAGAGAGAGACAGAGAGAGAGAGACAGAGAGAGAGAGAGAGAGAGAGAGAGAGAGAGAGAGACACAGAGAGAGAGAGAGAGAGAGAGAGAGCGAGAGAGAGAGAGAGAGAGAGAGAGAGAGAGAGAGAGACACAGACACAGAGAGAGAGAGAGAGAGAGAGAGAGACACAGAGAGAGAGAGAGAGAGAGAGAGAGAGAG